CATTTGACTAATTGTCCGGGAGCTGCCTCTCTCACATAGTGTCTGCTGTTGACCATTGTTTCACTGGCATAACCATGTACATACCAGTGGATATGTACCGTGCAGGATGCTCAAACCGGGTCCCATTACACCAGTGTATCTGTTAGTAGCAAAAAGCATGCAAGCTCTTGGTGAACAAATAAAATGCGGGTTTTAAGTGAACCCTTCTGCACTGCAGACGACTTAGACATGAGTGTGGACTTTTACTCCGATGGGAGAAAATGTTTATTTCAAATTTCGTCTGCAGGCGAATATGGTGAGGAATTTGGTCTGCTGATATTTGCAGTAGATAGGCTGGAACATCAAGGAAACCTATCCCGCAACCACCAATGCTTATAAAAACGAAAATAAGCTTGAGGACGTGCCTGGACGTCGGTGATCGTCATTATTTATGTTTGCGATGTTAGGGATGCACCAATGAAGGCCGGTGGAGACTGACTGTAATATCGGCTACACGGCACATCACCAGAAAGATAGCATCCACTCGTTCCTGGCAGCCAGAGCGCATGGATGCAAAATCAAACACTGGGCTAATAAACTAGGCACTTGAAGCCTGCGCGCAGGGTCATTCATTCCTCATAGTGTCATGAGACGCGTTGACATCGGTAATCTTTTCAGGAAACCACTGGAAACTTCAGTGCAAACCTGTCCAAATTCGGGGCTTCGTTTTTTATGTGTATTGTTGGACACCAGCCATTCGTGAATCATTGCAATTTTCGTGGCGAAATGTGTTGAACGCCAACAAGTGGTGAACGTTTCACGTAGACGACAGTTGCGCGAGACCTATTTCGAAATAAAGCAAGGTCTATTATTTGACAATTCACCATTTGAGCCAAGCACTGAGGAGGAAAGAGCAGGCTACACTTCGAAGCATACCGAGGCCCGCGACGCAATGTTCTATTACCGAATCAGACTCAAATTGGGATAATTCAATACTTTTAAGGGGGCTCTGCAACATTTGAGCATTGCTTGACACGATTCTTCCAAATGTTCTCCAACAACACACATTCATATGGATAGTCTACCAAAAATCCAAATAAGCGTTTGCGAAGGGTAAGTTCTCAGAAAAGCCCGACTGCCCTCCACGTGGCATCGCCATTCAAGGCATTACATAGAAAAGGGATCCGTCACCGAACACCTCAAGCATGAAAACAGTAAGGGATTTCCGTCACGATTGCACCTTTGGTTCTGCTGGTCCGGACAGTGGGAGTCACAAGCAGCGGGAGTCAGTGGGAGTCACAAGCAGCGGGAGTCAGTGGGAGTCACAGGCAGCGTCGGCCATGCAGACTTCTGAGAATTTCAAAGCCAGATCCGGCTATGAAGATCAGTCGGAACTGGAACTGGAAGTGGACGAACTACTGGACGACCTGGTGGTTCTGCGCCTGCGACCTGGAAAGCAAGCAAAGCATTAATTGCAGAATAGCCTGAACATATCGCAACGGAACCTTAACACGACGTGGCATAAGTGAACACTAGGTGAAACCGATCTTTGAGTTAGCCTCGGGGCGACTGAACAACAGCTGCCGAAAACTTCAGGCGCATCTGAAGGAGATATGACCGTGATCGTGCTTCAAAACGTGGTTCAGCGGACAATATGCATTGTTACGCGGATGATGTCAAAAACTTGCTAGGATGCGAACACGAAAGTCTTTGGCTTGTAATCGCTCCGAATCATCACAATAATACAAACAAAAATAACTTGGAACAGCTCCTTATCATTTCAGCTAGGAACCCCGGAGACCATGTCACTGACAAAAAAAGGTGTCAGCATGGGCCACAGTTCGTTATGCGAGCTTTTGTCGTCAGCCGTGTGCAGTTAATGGCCTAGGAAGTTGACACCTAGAAAGATTTGGGCTTGGGTGCTCCGAGCGCCGGTAACCATGAACTGGCCGGCTGAAATTCAGTAAGTACAGGAACTTCCACCAGGGCCATCGATCGTTGCTCCACCCAAGGATGCTCGCTCATCCTTAGTTACGTGCCAGGATGCTCGCCTGGCGCATGGGCCTGAGTTTTGCCCGTCCTTACCTCCATAACATCTTCTGGGAGGGCGGTATATCCCCGTTTGCCTCAGACCACTTGTGAAATTCCAGCGTCTTGCTCCTTACCGCGTCTGTTGGGATCGCCACGGCTCTGCCGGCCAACCCCATCAACGCCCTGCACATGCTGCAGCCCCTTCTCCATCTGCTTCAGCCCCTGCTCGTCATTGGGCGACGGAGACTGGCCACTGGCTGACTCTGACGGGCGGGACGTGATGACGTCAGATGACGATGGCGGCACCTGATGGGACTGAGGGGCAGTGGTAACCAATGGAAAACGACCACGGGTCTGTTGGCAGGGGCAATGACAGCCACTCAGACGACGACAGGGGCTGATGGGAGGGGCAGCAACAGCTACTCAGTACCAAAGCCAATTTAACATGTTGACAGGGTGGGGGGTGGGGGGGGGGGGGAATAGCTCCTGTCAGCAAATCTCCCTCCCCCTCCCTCCGACGTGAATGTCTTGATTTGCCGTAGGCTCAAGACCACCAAGCTCTTTGTAACTGGTCATGCAGATCTGGGATTCGCGGTGGATGCACGCACTCTGTATGCAACCAAGCATTCTAAGGTGAGGCAGTTGTTTATAATCAAGAAGAGAAGAAAAACAAAACAAAGCGAGAGTCAGATTTCAAAACGTCAGTCTGGTATGTCTCAGACAGGTCAGACACGACAGGTTGGACAAACAGACAGTTCGGCAAATTTTTTTTGGGTGCTCCAAAACAGAATCGGTCTAATTTGGAGGTGTCCGTATCTATCAGCTGTGATTCGATTGCGATTTGTGTGCTGACTTTTGGCAAGAGTATGACCAAAAGTTGCTTTTTATGCTTACGACGGTTCTGCTGGATCCCTCATGAACAGCTGCGACCGCTAGGAAAATGAGACTGGCTGCGTAAAAGTTCGACGAATCCAGCTGGCGGGTAAAGGCAAAATGTGCAGTTCCCAGCGTGACGATCGTAGCATCCCACAAGTGACACTTAA